ATGGTAATGGATATGACCATGTTAATGTGTTTGGATATGGCGGAATAGATCTGCAATGTTGGCGCTGTTGATTGTTGCCAATTACTGTCAATAAATACACCGATACACTGATGTGAGCTGATTCGGCAACAGCATAACATTGCCAATGAACATGAACCAATCAGCTTGTGCCATGCAGTTAACAATGTAAATAATATCAGCTGGGTTAAGCCTGCACCATTTGGTGTTTCATGACGAAACTTGGTGTGTGTGTGTGTACATATATATGTACCTAACCCTATACACAAAATGTCGCCTGGTCTGATGAGTCTCAGTTTCTGTTGAGACAGAATGAGAACATGGACCCATCATGCCTTGTTCCCACTGTGCAGGCTGGTGGTGGTGGTGTAATGGTGTGTGGGATGTTTTCTTGGCACACTTTAGGCTCCTTAGTGCCAATTGGGCATCGTTTAAATGCCACGGCCTACCTGAGCATTGTTTCTGACCATGTCCATCCCTTTATAGCCACCATGTCCCCATCCTCTGATGGCTACTTCCAGCAGGATAATGCACCATGTCACAAAGCTCGAATCATTTCAAATTGGTTTCTTGAACATGTCAATGAGTTGACTGTACTAAAATGGCCGCCACAGTCACCAGATCTCAACCCAATAGAGCATCCCATCTTTGGGATGTGGTGGAGCGGGAGCTTCGTGCCCTGGATGTGCATCCCATAAATCTCCATTTCCCGCCAAATGCAAGATGCTATCCTATCAATATGGGCCAACATTTCTAAAGAATGCTTTTTAATGTTATATATATATATATGAAGAGTTCAGATGCAAAAGCCTCTAAGTGCCAATTGAAATTTTCTTCTAGAATGATCATTTTTATCAAGCTTGTATATTTACAACCCGGTCTCATCCCAAGACGTCATATAACTGACGTTTTTGGACGTCTTTTGACCATACGTCAATATTCGCCTTTTTAGGGCCCCCTTAAACGTCGGTAGACGAGGTTATGGGATCCTAACTCTACCCCAGACCTAAACCTAACCCTAAACCTAACCCGTCACCTAACTGACGTTAAAGGTAAAGCGTCAGTTGTATGACGGCCCGGGATCGCCATCTACCGACGTTTAAGGGGGCCCTAAAAAGGCGGATATTGACGTATGGTCAAAAGACGTCCCAAGACGTCAGTTATATGACTTTTTGGGATGAGACTGTGTTAATATTTAAGTTCAGTGATTTCACTTAAATGGCAATGATAATTATCTATTAATTGTTATTTAAGTGAAATTACTGAACTTAAATATACAAGTTTGATTAAAATCATCATTAAAGAAGAAAATTTCAAATGGCATTTAGAGGCTTTTGCATCTGAACTCTTCATATATATATATATATATATATATAGTTGTGTCTGATATGAATAAGCATAAACAATTCTTCTAGATTCTTGCACTCATCCTCATCCTGAACATATTTCATTCACTGGCATGTCATCAGATTCCCGGCTCAGACTGTCACTCTATAATGAAGACACCAAAGCATTTCCCACAATGCTGCTGTCAGCGCTGTGAATGGTTTTCCTAATAAGGAAACACAAATAAAAGCCATGCCGCATCTAATATTCATGCTTTTGCTAACACATCCAGAGCGCATTAATTTTAATTGCCATCTTCAGAAAAAGATCTTTCTTCTTTTTTTATCTTTTGAGAGTGTGCCTGATCTATTAAAAAAAAAAAAATCAAAGCTACCCTTTAAACTAATATAAGCTCTGTTCCAAAAATACTGCACACACAAATACTGAGTATCATAATTTACCAGATGCAAATATTTGGTCAAATAATTTGAACTGTGTCAATTAATTAAATTTTTGGTGGATGTTTTTAGTGTTTTGTTCTGTGAGCTTTATAGAACAGTCTTCTGTAAGGATCCATGATGCAAGACGGATATAAGAAAGAAAGAAATGCTGTCTAGGTAGATGGCTCAGAAACAAGTCAGAAACAAGTTCAATCACATGTGACAGGCTGTTAAACACCCCTCAGTCAGTTTAAATTTGAGTCCTTCAGAGTTTGGGTGGTTGTACACCCACATTAGCGCATGTTGCTTTGCCTATACATCAATATGAATGTGCTAACACAGAGGGTGGGATAAGAAGCTCGGTTCTGATGCGTAAACTGTTCAAGATGCCAACAGCTCATTACCGTAATGAGATTTTACAGCAGCCACATTTTCATATTCCACAACGTTTAGCTTAGTGATGGGCTGGCGGTGTAATTGATCTCTGTGATGCTCCTGGATGGAAGCGAGACAGCCTTAGGTTATGAAAGTTTCTCCACCGCCTCGCACCGTCTCCCATTAAGGTCTCACCTCCGGCTATGTTTAGGCTTGTTAGAAATACAGCGCGACTTCATCCTAGAACGACTCTGAGGTGTCTGGCCTTTGAGACCGTGATGACGGATAGTCTGTTGTCTTAGCTGGAATTGCTTCCTGTGTAGATATGACCATCTGTTTGACCTTTGCAAATATGACCTCTGGTCACATGTGATATTAGGCACGTATCTGCTCCGCATCCGCGAATATGAGCTCCTTGTAAGGCGCTTGGCTGAATACTGAATAGGATTCCTGATAATTCAATTTAGCCCGCTTGCCGAGTGCAGAATGTTGTCATTTTATTGTCGAGTCATTAGTGAAGTGTCATTTGTTGTGGATAAAGCTATTCATCTCCTTTTTTTTTAATGAGCAACACAATTAAAGTCTTAATGAAGCCACTGTGTGACTCACAGATTGCTGTAATCAGTCTTTATTGAAGTTTTTAGAAACACGCTCCACCTAAAAATGTGTTGCATTCATTTAAGTGTTGTTTTTACAAAGTGAGGGGGGAAAAAAATATCTGCGGTTAAAATGTCAAATAGTAATACGGCTCTGGAGATTTATATATCCATCAAGGAATCGTAGAACAATCTTTTGACTCTGTTTCAATATGCCCGGCAGTTAATCTTGCCTTTATGAATTAATGACTTGGTATAATTTGGCAGTGCATCGCGTTTAGTATTGTTGAAATTTACGGGTTGGAAGAAACACCCAACACTAAGTATTGAACATTTGCATGTGACTCATCCTTCACATTTTGTGCTACAGACATGAAGGATTTCTCTAATCAGTCTGAGAGGTGCTGTTTCTGTGCCAGCTTTTGTCCTGGGCCAATAAGTAAAACCCAGATCATCCCAGTCAACCCCTAAGGCTGCATTAAAGGAGTAGTTCACTTTTGAAAACACTTTCGCTGATAATTTACTCACCCCCATGTCATCCAAGATGTCCATGTCATTCTGTCTTCAGTTGAAAAGAAATTAAGGTTTTTGATGAAAACATTCCAGGATTTTTCTCCATATAATGGACTTCAATGGGAACCAAATTGTTCAAGGTCCAAAAGACACTTTCAGTGCAAACTGCAAACTGTTCAAAGGGCTTTAAACGACACCAGACAATGAATAAGGGTCTTATCTACCGAAACGATCGCTCATTTATTAAAAAAAATAACAAAGTTTAAGTTTTATAAGCACAAATGCTCGCCTTGCTCTGTTCTGTGACGCACGTTCGTGACTCTCCTGTTCGAACTTGTTCATCAAAATGAACAAATCTTTTTCAGAGTCATTTGGTTCATTCAACGAACGAAACAAACGAATTGACTCGGAAAAACATTTGTTCATTTTGATGAACGAGTTTGAACAGGAGAGTCACACAGAACAGAGCAAGGCAAGGATTTGAGTTTATAAAACTTAAACTTTGTCATTATTTATTAAATGAGCGATCGTTTTGCTTGATGAGACCCTTATTCATCGTCTGGAATCGTTTAAAGCCCTTTGAACAGTTTGCAGTTTGCACTGAAACTGTCATTTGGACCTTGAACCGTTTGGACCCCATTGAAGTCCATTATATGAAGGAAATCCTGGAATGTTCTCATCAAAAACCTTAATTTCTTTTCGACTGAAGAAAGAAAGACATGGACATCTTGGATGACATGGGGGTGAGTAAATTATCAGCAAAAGTTTTTTTTTAAAAAAGTGAACTACTCCCTTAAGCCTCCTTTAAAGTATCTTTCCTCATACCCAATTTGCCAGTTAGAGAGAGAGAGAGTAGATCACAGTGTGCGTCTGTATGTAACAATGCTTGTTCATTTATTTACAAAAACAGCAAATGTGTCCTCTCATCATTGCTCAGAAATATAATGTAGCTTTCAGTAGCGAAGCTGTTTTATTTATAAATGGTTGAAAACCTGTTCCTATACTCTTGAATGTTTATGTGTGCACTTACAGGTACGTCTGCTTCATGATCTGAATTTTTGGGCAAACATATCGCCCTCGACTTGTAAACCACAAAGGGGAATCGCATATGCGCGTTTAGACGTAGGTCAGATGTCCAGGTGTTTTTGGTCCCTTTGTAAACACAAGATGTCCATGTCTTTCTTTCTTCAGTCGAAAAGAAATTAAGTTTTTTGATGAAAACATTCCATGTTTTTTCTCCATATAATGGACTTCATTGGGAACCAAACGGTTCAAGGTCCAAATGAGAGTTTCAGTGCAGCTTCAAAGGGCTTTAAACGACACCAGACGATGAATAAGGGTCTTATCTAGCGAAACGATCGCTCATTTCAAAAATAAATTAAAAAGTGTAAGTTTTATAAGCACAAATGCTTTCGTGACTCTCCTGTTCGAACTCGTTCATCAAAATGAACAAATCTTTTTTCGAGTCATGAGTCGAAGGGTCCTAGATAAGACCCTTATTCATCGTCTTTCACCATTTGGACCTTGAACCGTTTGGTTCCCAATGAAGTCCATTATATGGAGAAAATCCTGGAATGTTTTCATCAAAAACCTTAATTTTTTTTTTGACCGAAGAAAGAAAGACATGGACATCTTGGATGACATGGGGGTGAGTAAATTATCAGCACAAGTTTTTTTTTTTTTTTTTTTTTTTTAACACAATATACAAATGTAATTAGTTTATTTTGTCTGTTGATGTATTTACGTTGCAGAATCCAGGACAGGTGCGATTGAAGAGAGCGCTCACTCCGAACCCGTCCCGCTGAAGAACCGCATGGCCGTTTACCAGGTGGCTGTTTCCAAACAGGACAAAACAGGCTTCTCCAGCGCGGTACGCTTCACACACACACACACACACACACACATGGGTGAAATCCGATACGATCATAGGAGACTCATTTAAGATGTAAATAACCGATCGGTGTCAGGTGACCACTTGTGAGCGAATCGCTCAAGATGGATGTTAATAGCAGGTGTAAGCGGGGCTTAAGTGATTCTGCTCCATCACTTTCAGCCATCAGTCATGTTTAGACAAGCCTTAAGAGCTTCTGTTGGAAAGACCAACGCTATTTACCCAGCAGTTCCCATCCAGCTGTCTGAGTGCCATCAGATTGATCAGCCAATATAATTTCAATGACGCAAATGAGGCACTTGTGCGCCACGCAAACTTGTTATGTCAACGTCTCGTTAGAGCAAACGATCAAAGCTGATAAATTCTGACTGTTCTGCGTTTAAACTCTGTGTGAGGACCGAACGCATGTATAATTCCAAACTCATTGATTTATGCAGTAATTGCTGCGTGGTACGTCAGATCACAATAGAAAGCAGTGTGTGTTTGATTTGCGCTGCTTGTCGCAGTAATTGAGACTGAAGGATTGACAGACAGACACAGCGATGAGGACACGAGCGCGACCAAACGAATTAGAAAAGCAATGGACTTTCGACGACTCCAGCTAGCCGTGCATTATGCAGAAACCTCAGCTTTCCGAGGATTTGACACTTCTGGTTAAATCTCTTAAGAAAATGTTTCTTGGAAACTGAATTTAGAGATGTCAGTATAGTGGCCTTGACTCACATGATAAATCATGACATTCAGTTGAGAAGCAAAAGATATGAAATCTATGACCCTTTCAATAGGAAACATAAGACGCCTATCACTGTATTCATATATAAGCTCCTTATGAGCAGCTGTCGCGTTTCTCATGAGCGAATTACCCTCCTCCATCCCCAGTTCCTCCCAAAACAAAATATTGTGAAAATATTCCACTGGATTTTCGCTCAAATTGACCTTTGATTTTGCAAATTTCTTTCTGTTTGTTTGCGAGTCGAATTTTCCTTTGCAAAGCAGTTCGAGTTTGTTTGTTTAAAATTTGTTCGTTTAAAATTGGCACATAATTCGCTCCATAGCTATGATGGACACAGGCAAAGGGGCAAATTATACCCCTACTCTTTTTCGAAGGACATCCTGGGATTTTTAGACGTAGGTCAGATGTCCAGGTGTTTTTGGTCCCTTTGTAAACACAAGATGTCCATGTCTTTCTTTCTTCGGTCGAAAAGAAATTAAGTTTTTTGATGAAAACATTCCATGATTTTTCTCCATATAATGCACTTCATTGGGAACCAAACGGCTCAAGGTCCAAATGAGAGTTTCAGTGCAGCTTCAAAGGGCTTTAAATGACACCAGACGATGAATAAGGGTCTTATCTAGCGAAACGATCGCTCATTTCAAAAATAAATTAAAAAGTGTAAGTTTTATAAGCACAAATGCTGGAGTCAGGGCCTCGGTTTAAATGTCTGTTCTTGTCTTGTCTGTCAGTCATATAATGCAGGTCTATGGTCACCACCTCAAAGATCATGCACAAAGAAGTCCAGATTAAACATTATTTAATGACTCATAAATGTAAGTACACACACGAACAGTATTTATATAGTTTCTACCTCTCGTAAGCACAGCCACGTTCAAGTGATCTGAGGGCGCCGGGCGGTTTGTGGCTGTGGTTACAAGAGGTAAAAACGATATAAATACTGTTCGTTTTCTCACACAAATCGCTCGTTTCGTGTCTTAGGGCATTAATGTGTACTTACATTTACGAGTCATTAAATCATGTTTAATTTGGACTTCTCTGTGCATGCTTTTTGAGGTGGTGACCATAGACCTCCATTAAATGACTGACAGACAAGAACGTTTTGACCTAAAAATATCAAAATTGAAACTACTTCGGAAACAAAGACACCTACAACTTGGATGCCGTTGAGGTAAGGCAAAACATACCAAAAAATAATTTCAAAGTGAACTTTAACGTCTCATCTGAAGCATGGATGTTGTACTTTAAAATCTTGAATTAATGATATCTGCAATACATTCATTAACTGTCCAAACTGTATTCTAATTGTCAATAGTATTTGACGATAGTGGCCCTGACTGAATTACATTTAAACATATTCAAACAGAAAACAGATGGTTTAAATCGTAATAATATTTCTGTTTTTACTGTATCTTTAAACAAATACACTTTTGAACAGTGTTTTTATATGATCTGAATTGTTTCTTGACATGTTGGAAAATAGTTTTTTCTTGCTTAAGCTTAAAAAACAACAACAACAACAACAACTATTAGCCAAGCTGTTTAGTTTTTGACATCTGATTCTTTAATTTGTTGGCAAATTTGCTCTAAAAAGCTGAAAATAACATTTGGTTAATTAACTTGAAACTGTCCTTGTGAAAATCAGATATTTGGAAATAAATAACAGTGTTTAATGAGTAAAGTGAAGCAATTGCTAATATATACAAGTTACTGTGTGAATTCTTTTTGAAGAATTAAAGGGATAGTTGAACTGAAAATGAAAATTCGGTCATCCTTTACTCACCCTGAAGGTGTTTCAAAGCTGTATGAGTTTTATTTCTTCTGCTGAACACAAAAGAAGATATTTTGAAGAATGTTGGTGACCAAACAATTTCTGGTCCCCATTGACTTTCATTGTATTTTTTTCCATACTATGGAAGTCAATGGGGACCAGCAACTATTTGGTTACCAACATTCTTCAAAAAATGTTGTGTTCAACAAAAGACAGAATTTGATGCAGGTTTAGAACAACTTAATGTGTAAATGTTGACAGATTAATTTTTGGGCCAACTATTAACTATTTTTCATTGTTTAAGATATTGTTATATTTAATGGGTTTTCAAGGCAGCAGTGTATTCATAATGCATCTTTATAATTGGCAAAAATGTAGCAATAATGTGCAGTTTTTCTTGCCTGGGTGACAGACAGCATGTTTTTGAGTTACTGTAGTAGGTGATAGGGCCGAATGCCTCTGCTCATGTGCGAGTGCAGTGACATCATTGTTGTCTATGGCTTTGTGTCAGTGTGAGAGTGAAGTGTTGATGGGTAACCAGTGGGAGTTCAGGACCTCTCCTCAGTTTCTCACTCTTTGGCTGTCTGCTAAAAACAGCACTGCACATCCACTCTGGGCCCAGTTGAGGTCAGATCCCTACAGGGGGGGTCAAAAGTACAGCAAAGTTATTGTTTCAGCTTTTGTACGAGTTAAAACACACCGGTAGTTTTTGTATATGAACTTGGACATTAACGATATTTTTGGATGTCGATTCATTCCTCATTGTTTTTTAAAGGGATAGTCCACTTTTTTGGGAAATAGTCTCATTTTACAACTCCCACAGAGTTAAACTGTTGAGTTTTACCGTTTTTGAATCCATTCAGCCGATCTCCGGTTCTGGCGGTACCACTGTTAACATAGCTTAGCATAGCCTACATCATTGAAGTGGACAAGACCACTAGCATTTCACTAGCAAAAAAAAAAAAAAATGACCAAAGAGTTTCGCTATTTTTCCTATAACATAGAAAAATGTAAAGTTGTGATTTTCTAGGCTGATAGACAGTTTGTTGTAAAATGAGCCTATTTCCAGAAAAAAAAAGTTAAGTGTAAGTGAACAGAAATTGTGGTTATATTAAGGCACTTTAGATGAAGTCAGATCTTTTCACAAGGACCATGTATATACTTCCCGTCAAAAGTTTGGGGTTGGTAGCAGCTCAAACCGTATTCATTTTATAGCTCTTAATGCTGTAATTGTGGACAAATGTGGGAACAGAGGACTCAGGTGTGAGCCTAATTTTTATTTATTATAAATGTTATATCGCTGTCTTCGATAAAGTTTTCTCTATCCATTTTTGGTGGTTTTTTTTTTATTTATTTTGGGGGTATTTTGAATTTATTTACTTCAAAAAGTACTATAATTTCCATGTAAATTATGCTTATTTTTATGTTTTATTTTTTTTTATTTTTTAACTACATTTAAAATATCATTCCAATAAGTTCATAGAGCTAAAACCTAAAGATGAAGTGACTTTGCTGTCACCTGGTGTCTTATTTTGCCATATTTTTCGAATGCTCTAAATTACAGTTTTTCCCATTCATTTCTATGGTGCCCATTTTTGAGTTTTTTGAGCATTATTATTTTTTTTTTTTTTTTCACCCACTTATTGTAGAATTGAGTAAAAAAAATTGTGTGTTTAAGAGGCAAACTTAGGAAAAGTAACCAAGTCTTGAACCGTTCAGATCAAGGGAAGTATTTATTCAAATTAAATCAAAACTATTTTGCCCACATTTGTCCAGAATACGGGTTTAGAGTTAAAAAAGCCTCTTATGCTCACCAAGGGTGTTTTTATTTAATTACAGACACAGTAAAAACAATACAATTGTCAAATATTATTACAATTAAAAATTTCTGTGTGCATATTTTAAAATGTAATTTATTCCTGTGATCAAAGCTGAATTTTTAGCATTATTACTCAATGATGATATGCTGATTTTAGCTCGTTAAACATTTCTGGTTATTATCAATGTTGAAAACAGTTGTCCTGCTTCATATTGTTTTGGAAACCATGATTTTATTTCAGGATTCTTTGAATAGAAAGTTCAAATATATCATTTATTTGAAATATAAATCTTTTGTTTATATTTTATTGAAATATAAATCTTATAAGGCATTGTTTTACCTGCAGCAATTAATGTTAACTGTTGCTGTCAGGCTGTAAACTCCATTTATATTTAAGATAAATGTTTATTTATGTATTTCATTAGTCATGGCACGAGTTCGAGATCAAATCCGGAGAAGAGCGTTATAACTGGGCATATATGTATGTAGATGTATATAATGTAGCTGAGCACTTTCACAATTTTATAGCTATCAGGCTTCTGGATAGCAGTGTCACAGATCAGTATGCCCTATCCTACAACACATAGAAATGTATGTCAGTATAGAATGAATGAATTGGTTTCCAGTTGCAAATTGCATATTCAATAATTTTTTCCATGAATTGATATGGATTATTAATTAAGCGAAGCAGGCGCTGAAACAAAGCAGAAAGCACATGCACGTGGACAACAATGCAGGGGCGACCGAAGGGTTAATGAATCCTCTCGATATCAGGGCCACAGACGGGATGCCATGCAAATGCGACTGTCATGCAAAATCTTAAAATGTGATTTTGTAAAGTCACAGAGATAATGAGATAAAGGCTGGAAGCTGTGCTTTGTGTGTGTGCGTAAGCCGCATTGTCTCATGAATATATGAATATTTTTTGTTCAGCGGTGGATGAAGACGAGAGACAAGTGATCACACTTTGCCTCCCATAATCTCGCAGCTCTTGTAAAAGCATAAATCTGCTTAGCGTGATTTTTCAACGCAGGCGGCCGGTCTGTCTGTGTCTGTTTCTTCATCAGGTCATGGAGGACGAGGTTTGTTCTCTGCCTGGAGGGCTGGCCAGCGTCCGAAGACAGTTTGAGAGCGAGAGCATGTCTTCGGCTCACACACTCACCCAGATTCACCACACACACAGATCTGTGCAGGTCAGTGTTGGAAACTGCTTACAGTAACTCATATTAGCACTGCCTTTCAAAAGTTTGGGGTTAGTATGATTTTTTTTTTTTTTTTATTAATACTTTTGTGAAAATTTACATTTTACAAAAGATTTCTATTTCCATTAAATGCGGTTCTTTTGTGCTTTCTATTTATCAAAGATGTTTTGGTTTCCAAAAAAATATTAGCAGCACAACTGGTTTCACCATTGATAATAATAAAACATAATAATAATAACAGATGATGAAACCATATATTTTGAAAATATTTCAATATATTCACAGGCTGTCAAACGATTAATCGCGATTAAAAGCATCCAATATAAAAGTTTGTGTTTACATAATATATGTGGGGACGCTGTGTATATGTGACGCTGTGCGGAGAAACAGAGCTGAGGCTGGGTCCAAACGCAGTGTAGCTTTATTAAACCAACTTAAAACAAGACACTAGAAACAAGACTCGAGAGACGTGAAAGCACCAACGTAGCACACATAAATTCAAACAACCAACAAAGACAGGGCAGAAACACAGGGCTTAAATAATCAATGACAAACGAGCTAGACAAGATAACAAGGGGGCGTGAGAAATGAGAAACACCTGGGATAAATAATAGACGGGCAATAACTAATAACGAAAACACACACAATCACTTCGTGACAGTATAATTATTTTGTATATAAAAACACACACATGCATGTATATTTAAGAAAAAAATATTATTTATATATAAAATATTTATATATAATATAAATTATATATAAATCTATATACATTAATATATTTCTTATATATATACAAGTATGCGTGTATATTTATATATATATAAAATAATTATACACAGTGCACCCACATATATTATGTAAACACAAACTTTTTTGATGCGATTAATCGTTTGACAGCCCTACAACATATCCAACACTATCTCACGACCAATTCGTACGAATTCGACGCATGATTAAAAAGTGGCTAATTCGTACTAATTCGTACGACCTCACTCGTACTAATTCGTACGATTTGTCTAAACCCACGTGATGGTTAGGTTTAGGGGCGGGGTCAGGGGTAGGTCATTTGTACGAATTCATACGAATTGGCCAATTCGTAAAATATGTACGATTTAGCAAAATCGTATTAATTCGTACGAGTGAGGTCGTATGAATTGTTACGAATTAGCCACTTTTTAATCATTCGTCGAATTCGTACGACTTGGTCGTGAGATCGGGTTGACATATCATATATTTTTAGAATATATTCAAATAAATCATTTCAGTGTTTTCACTGTGTGTTTGATCAAATTAATGTAGCCTTGTTGAACATAAGCAACATTTCAAAAACATTACAACATATTTTCGACCCCAAACTTTCTAACTTTTATATAAAAGCAAGCAATCTAGTTCTGTCGCAACGCAGCATTTTGCATCCGCATGCAACCAAACTTTTTGCTGAATATGAATATGCAGATTTTTTTTTTGGCATGATTTGCGGAGGAGCCATGAGAAACTAACCAGTGTGTTTAAATGTTGTTTTATAGAATTATATTGCATCTTTATCTTCATATAGCGCACTTAAAATGCTAGACAGTCACAGTATACGCCTGCCTCTATCTATGTATGTGTATATGAAAGAATAATATGCTAAAATGCATTTGAGATGCAGTCACTTTGATTTTGACTCACTGCCACACAGCATCTGTTGAAAAAATAAATGAATTTTAATGTCATACTAAAGTGTCACACATCATTACACACATATCAGTTTAGTTTCTACCCAGGCGATTTATAGCACCACAGAATTGTGACTGAACAAAGAACACACTTCTCGTTTATTAATCTTTTTAGTGCTTTTGTAAGTCCCAAAACTTACCCTGAAGGTGTTTCACATCCATCATTTGATTTCCATTCTAATCTGTAATTGTAACATTGAGTCTTGTATGCAAAACTAGTTCAAGATCAATCTGATATTCTCAGCTGTTTGGGTGCGAGATGCCTGTATATTGAGGAAAAAAAGTTATTTAAAGGAGTAGTTCACTTTTAATAAAAACTTTTGCTGATAATTTACTCACCGCCATATCATCCAAGATGTCCATGTGTTTCTTTCTTCAGTCGAAAAGAAATTAAGGTTTTTGATAAAAAACATTCTATGGATTTTTCTCCATATAATGGACTTCAATGGGGTCCAAACGGTTTGAGGTCCAAATGACAGTTTCAGTGCAGCTTCAAAGGGCTTTAAACGACACCAGACTATGAATAAGGGTCTCATCTAGAGAAACGATTGCTCATTTCAAAAAGAAATAAAAAAGTTTAAGTTTTATAAGCTCAAATGCTCGCCTTGCTCTGTTCTGTGATGCGCGTTCGTGACTCTCCTGTTCGAACTTGTTCATCAAAATGAACGAATCTTTTTTCGATTAATTTCGTTCAGTTTGTTCGTTGAATGCACCAAATGACTCAAACAGATTCGTTTTCATTTTGATGAACGAGTTCGAACAGGAGAGTCACGAACGCGCATCATAGAACAGAGCAAGGCGAGCATTTGAGCTTATAAAACTTAAGCTTTGTTGTTTATTTATTAAATGAGCGATCGTTTCGCTTGATAAGACCCTTATTCATCCTCTGGAATCATTTAAAGCCCTTTGAACAGTTTGCAGTTTGCACTGAAACTGTCTTTTGGACCTTGAAACGTTTGGACCCCATTTGAAGTCCATTATATGGAGAAAATCCTGGAATGTTTTCATCAAAAACCTTAATCTCTTTTCTGAAGAAAGAAAGACATGGACATCTTGGATGACATGGTTTAAGTAAATTATCAGTTTATCAAAAGTTTTTTTTTTTTTTTTTTTTTTCTAAAGTGAACTACTCTTTTTATATGGACTGAAATTCAAGTCCCATAAATTCAGCGCACTTGTGCATCATTTTGGATGGTTGGCATCCCTAATTATGCTAGTCTTAGTTCTGGTGCAGGATTTAAACACTACAAGCATCCATGCAATTTCCATGCAAGGCTTCTGGTGTAGAAAAGAGAGGATGTGCAAGGACTTTTGCAATGATATTAATCCTCTTACAGCTGACCTTACACAAAAACCCAATATCTGACACTATAACAAGTCAAAGCTGTACCCATCTGTACCTTCTCAGATCTGCATAGATTCTCCCAAGCTTCTGAAGCTCATTAGCATTGGCACACGCTAATATTATGCATGCAGCGCTTGCCTCTGCAGAAATCAGATACAGCTTGCAGTGAGAGAAGTAGAATGGAGATAAATTTTGGTCACAGTCTGTGTAATCCAACTCTGCCGATCCAAATTGAATCCAGTCCACCCATCCATCCCATTGAGTCTGAGCGTGCTCCTCTCCCCTGCCGGGACGGAGGAGAAAAAAATCACACTGAATACAGAATGACAGGAGAAAGTGGGAGATGTGCTCTCATTGAAGTGCACTAAAGCAGTGGCTCTCAAACTGTGTCATGTGACGTGAATCTGCAAATGTAATATATATATACACTTTATGTCTATTTATTTTTAGTCTTGTTGCTAATTTCTGGTTGATATACATTTTAAATGAGCGTATATGCATTGCCTGCTTTCGCTTTTCTTCAGTGTGGGATGATAAGCAATACACTTCCAAAATGTATTAATTGGCTTCATTCCATTTAATTGAGTTAATTGAGTTCATTTGGCCACAAATCACCGGATGCTGTATTTTTGAATTGGAATTACAGGAAGAGGAATTCAACAAAGGAAGAATTGTTTGAGCTGTTTTAGATAATATTGATTACTTTTTTTTTTTTTTTACTGTATAGGATAACACAGTCTCATCCCAAAAAGTCATATAACTGACGTTTTGGGACGTATTTTGACCATACGTCAATATCCGCCTTTTTAGGGCCCCCTTAAACGTCGGTAGAGGGCGATCCCGGGCCGTCATACAACTGACGCTTTACCTTTAACGTCAGTTAGGTGACGGGTTAGGTTTAGGGTTAGGTTTAGGTATGGGGTAGAGTTAGGATCCCATAACCTCAACTACCGACGTTTAAGGGGGCCCTAAAAAGGCGAATATTGACGTATGGTCAAAAGACGTCCCAAAACGTCAGTTATATGACGTCTTGGGGTGAGACCGGGTTGTATAGGAAAATTATTTTATAAGAGGAAATATTTGATCGATTTGATCTGGATTAAATTGCTGGGTTGTTTCAACCCAATTTTGGGTCAAATATGGACAAACCTAAATGTTGGGTTAAAATTGTAATTTCAAATTTTAACCCAACTTCAAATTTCAATTTTAACTGTAAAATTTTTAATTGCATTTTTAACCCAACATTTGGGTTTGTCCATATTTGACCCAAAATTGGGTTGAAACAACCCAGCATTACTTTATAAGCAATGCACACTCTAAAAATGCTGGGTTGTTTCAACCCAATTTTGGGTTAAATATGGACAAACCCAAATGTTGGGTTAAAAATGTGATTTCAAATTTTAACCCATCTTCAACTTTTATTTTCAACTGTAATTTTTTTAATTGCATTTTTAACCCAACATTTGGGTTTGTCCATATTTGACCCAAAAATTGGGTTGAAACAACCCTGCATTTTTAGAGTGTACATTGCTTATAAAGTATATTTGTATATACATCAGCTTATGGATAACCTCAGAGCTGTTAGTATACATTTAGTGCAAATGTATTGTACACTCTAAAAATGCTGGGTTGTTTCAACCCAATTTTGGGTTAAATATGGACAAACCCAAATGTTGGGTTAAAAATGCAATTTCAAATTTTAACCCAACTTCAACTTTTACTTTCAACTGGAAATGTTTTAATTGCATTTTTAACCCAGCGTTTGGGTTTGTCCATATTTGACCCAAAATTGGGTTGAAACAACCCAGCATTTTTAGAGTGTACATTGCTTATAAAGTATATTTGTATATACACCAGCTTATGGATAACCAAATTTAGTAGAAATGTATTGTACACTCTAAACAATGCTGTTTGAACCCAAATTTGAGTAAAATATGGACGAACCCAAATGTTGGGTTAAAAATGTGTTTTCAAATTTTAACCCAACTTCAACTTTCACTTTCAACTGGAATTTTTTTAATTGCATTTTTAACCCAACATTTGGGTTTGTCCATATTTGACCCAAAATTGGGTTGAAACAACCCAGCTTTTTTTAGAGCGTACATATTTAAAAAAGTTTGAGAACTGTTTAGATCACAAAATTCATGTTCCTCTGTTTTTGTAGCTTCGTCAAAGCAAGATGCAAACATTTTCACGCATAATTTCGAAGGTGTACTTAACTGAATATTAGAAGGATTTACCGCACAAAGTTGATCAAGTTTGGCACTAATCCACAGAAGGATATACACTGAGTAGACAAATGAGAACATAAGCTGACATTATGTATCATGCTGCAGTTATTTGAGAGAAGCATCAAAGGATTGCGCTGTAGCAGGTCATCTCATTATCTGTGCTTTCTGTTGCTCATGGTGACACTCGTTTACTAAACTGGGTTGTGTGTGCATGTTGGGGATGTGTGTGTGTATATTTAAACCATAACTTGCATCACATTATGTGAGTGTTTGGTATGTAGGATTTATTTTTGAGGTTGTTTTTTTTTATCCTTTCTTGGATAATGAGGTCTATGTTTATCTATGTAGAAATTAGACCATCATGCATTTGAAAAAGTTCTCATATAGATTTTTTTCTGCTCGGCTTATTTAAAGAGTAGTTCAGTTTTCAAAACTTTTGCTGATAATTTACTCACCCCCATGTCATCCAAGATGTCCATGTCTTTCTTTCTTCAGTCGAAAAGAAATTAAGGTTTTTAATGAAAACATTCCAGCATTTTTCTCCATTTAATGGACTTCAATGGGGACCAACCGGTTCTTGGTCCAAAAGACAGTTTCAGTGCGAAGTGCAAACTGTTGAAAGTGCTTTAAACGATTCCAGACGATGAATAAGAGTCTTATCAAGGGAAACAATCGATCATTTAAAAACAAAAAACAAAGTTCAAGTTTTATAAGCTCTGTCTTGCTCTGTTCTGTGACGCATGTTTGTGACTCTCCTGTTCGAACTCATTCATTAAAATGAAAAAATCTTTTTCCGAGTCAATTCGTCCGTTTTTGACGGACTTTGTTATTTATGTATTAAATGAGTGATCGTTTCGCTTGATAAGACCCTTATTCATCGTCTGGAATCGTTTAAAGCCCTTTGAACACTTTGTGCCCTCTTTTGGCCCTTGAACCGTTTGGTTCCCACTGAAGTCCATTATATGTAAAAATCCTGTAATGTTTTCATCAAAAACCTTAATTTTTTTTCTAATGAAGAAAGAATGACATGGACATTTCTGATGAGGGTGAGTAAATTATCAGCAAAAGTTTTTTTTTTTAAAAGTGAACTACTCCTTTAATACAAAACATGTTTAAAAAAGGGGGAGGAGGCAACCACAGAATCTATTCATGGTCTGTCGATATCAAACTGATGTATAAAACGGATCAGAAAGTGAAAGCAGAAAGTGCCTCTTAAAAATAAATGAAAAAGTCAATATGTATTTATTTTAAAAAAAAGTAAAAATTGACAAATAAATAGGCACACTCTAAATAATGCTGGGTTGGTTTAACCCAATTGTGTGTGAAACATGGACAAACCCTAACGTGTGGTTAAAAATGTAACCCAAAGGCTGGGTTTGACCCAAATTTGGGTTAAAACAACCCAGCATCTTTTAGAGTGCATATTCATTTAAATCATAGTGGTTTTTATCAACTATTGACAAATGGCTGTTCTTTATCCATTTGTCAATCAAGTTAAAAAATACCATTGAAGTATAGCCTTTTTTTCAGTTTTTCAAGTGATTTGAATCCAAGTCTGCAGTGTTGTGATTCATCTCAGAGCCAGTTGGTTTTGGTTAATGACTTGGAAATCTTTATTAAAGTGGGTTTTGAAGTCCGTCTGGAGGAAATAGTTGATCAGAAGCAAAGCCACTGTTGCGCTGTTGCTTTGAGTGTTTTGGGTCGGATATTCAGTCACCTTTGGGTTTAACGATGCAATCTACATCGATGTATGTCAGCCATATCTCTTTTAATGATCTGTCTGTGTTTTCTTGTGCGTTTTCGGGCTGTTTTTATGGATTGGTATTGATTGCGTCCCTGCTGATGATATCAAACTTTGCTGCATGTGTTTGTGTGTGGGAGTGTGTGTTGGAACGGATTATAACATTTCAAAATCTGCTCATCCAAGGGCTAAAGCCATCAAACCTGCCGTTTAACAGTAATTAGCACTAATCCTAATCCTGAAATGGAAAACGAAAATGTATATATTAATTCTAAAACTGAATGTGTGCTTAAGGAATGCAGATTTCATGCAAATATGCATAATTGATTTTTGAAATATCACAGACTAACCATGTGTGCGTTAAAGAATGTGTAGATGGCTTTCTAGAATTTCATTTCTACACTCTCAGAAAAAAGGTGCAAAAGCTGTCACGGGGCTGTACCTTTTCAAAAAGGTAAACTTTTGTCCATTTCAGGTGCTAATATGTACATTTTAGGTGTTAATACGTAAATTTTAGGTGCTAATAAGTACATTTTAGGTGTTAATATGTATATTTAAGCTGCTGATATGTACATTTTAAGTATTAGTAGTAAATTTTTGGTGCTAATAAGTACATTTTAGGTGTTAATATGTACATTTAAGGTGCTGATATGTACATTTTAAGTGTTAAGTACATTTTAGGTGCTAATAAGTACATTTAGGTGTTAATATGTACATTTAAGGTGCTGATATGTAAGTTTTAGGTGCTAAAATGTCCATTTCAGGAGCTAATATGTACATTTAGGTGGTAATATGTACATTTTAGGTCCTAATATGTAAATTTTAGGTGTTAATATGTTCATTTCATGAGCTATTATGTCAATTTTAGGTGGGAATATGTCCATTTTAGGTGTTAATATGTCCATTTAGGTGTTAATATGTCCATTTTAGGTGCTAATAAGTACATTTTAGGTGTTAATATGTACATTTAAGGTGCTGATATGTACATTCTAAGTATTAATAGTACATTTCTGGTGCTAATAAGTACATTTTAGGTGTTAATGTGTACATTTAAGGTGCTGATATGTAAAGTTTATGTGCTAAAATGTCCATTTCAGGAGCTAATATGTACATTTAGGTGGTAATATGTCCATTTTAGGTCCTAATATGTACATTTTAGGTGCTAATATGTTCATTTCATGAGCTAATATGTCCATTTTAGGTGTTAATATGTCCATTTTAGGTGGTAATATGTACATTTTAGGTGTTAATGTGTCCATTTTAGGTGGTAATATGTACATTTTAGGTGTTAATATGTACATTTTAGGTGCTGATATGTACCACTAAGGTACCAATATGCAGCCTTTGAGTAGAAAAGTGTATCTTTTTGAAAAGGTACAGCCCCAGTGACAGCTTTTGTACCTTTTTTTCTGAGATTGTAGGTTAAGTATTCGTGTTTAATTTCCCAAATAAATAATTATATAATTATGATGATAAGATATATAGTTTTGAGAAAAGTTCCTGCTGCATTTTTCTGCTTTGATATCGTTTTATCAAATGCATTGCAATTCACACACTACTGATCAAAAGTTTGAAATCATAACATTTTTTTAAATATTTTTGAAAGAAGTCTCTCATGTTCACCAAAGGCTTCATTTATTTGATCAAATATACAGTAAGATTTGCATTTAAAGAGCTAATAAAATATTTAGTCTCGGATCAATATTTCATGTCTAATTATTTACTTAAAGGGATAGTTCACTTTGAAATGAACTTTTGGTATGTTTTGCCTTACCTCAAGGGCATCCAAGATGTTGGTGTCTTTGTTTCTGCAGTATTTTCAATTTTGATATTTTTAGGTCAAACCGTTCTTGTCTGTCAATTATATAATGGAGGTCTATGGTCACCACCTCAAAGAGCATGCACAGAGAAGTCCAAATTAAACATGATTTAATGACTCGTAGATGTAAGTACACATTGATGGCCTAAGACACGAAACGAGCGGTTTGTGTGAGAAAACGAACAGTATTTATATCATTTTCAATGTCATTTGAAAATTTTAACCAACTTCAACTTTCACTTTCAACTGTAATTTTTTTTAGTAGATTTTAACCCAACATTTGGGTTTGTCCATATTTGACCCAAATTTGGGTTGAAACAGCCCAGCATTTTTTCGAGTGTATGTTGTTTGTGACTGAGAAAAGGCTGTTGATAAGATATACTGACAGTAAGAAGCTTGTACGAGCGCTGTCTTGGAAAACGTTTTCTTTGTGCTCTTCTTTTGTATGTCTCATCCTCTAACAACAACCCTTGTCTCCTGTCACGCAGGAGGTGTCAAATTCATCAGCGATGAGTGTGGCGAGCAGCAGCGGGGGTCGACAAGTCTCGCAGCAGGTCTTCCTCCACGATGAAAGGGTACGGACATTTCCGACAACCCTGCTACTAATAACTCTCCATCTCACAAGTCTGAAACATCAGACTAAGACCCTTGCCTTGTCTCTGTACGCGGCGCTGAAGTGCCGTATTTATGTTTTACTAATGTCAAACTGACGTCAATTTTCAATAATGTATTTTTTTTTAATTTGGAGGTTTTAGCACTGTCAGCTCCACATGACAACACTTCCATTTCCATTTGTGCATTTGGTGGGCACTTTTATCCAGAGCGACTTTGGAAGTGCAATGCATTTAGTTTACACACTCTCTTGAACCCATGACTTTGCCCTACTTTAAAATAACCTCTCAGTAAAATAGGCTAAAAGTGAAATGAGGACAAGTGACCCTGTGAAAATACTCAGAAAAGAGATGTGAGATTCTAAAATGTAGTCTAGTAGAATAATTCATGGGATATTTATCGTCAAATCAGGTGAGCAGACCAGTGATTGTTGAGTAGAATAAAAATAAAACAAAAAACCCTGAAACACACACCATGATAAGACTAAAATTGATCTGGGAACCTGGGAATCGAACCCCTGACGTTTGGATTGTTAGCACTGTTAGCTCAACTGAAAAAAACAAAAAAAAAAAACAATATATATATATATATATATATATATATATGTCAAATTATTAATCGCGATTAATTTGTATATATATAAATACACACATATGCATGTATATTTAAGAAAAATAATTATATATATATATATATATATATATATAAATCTTTATACAGTATATACATGAAAATATTTCTTACATATATACAGGCATGTGTGTGTATTTATATATAATAATTATACACAGTGCACCCACATGTATTATGTAAACACAAACTTTTATTTTGGATGCGATTAATCGCGATTAATCATTTGACATATATATATGTGTGTGTGTGTGTGTGTGTGTGTGTGTGTATATATAACATATATATAAAAATATATATAAAAACATATATATAAAATGTTATATTGTTGAAATATTTCTATTATAAAATTATAAAAAAAATAAATGATATCAAAATACGTAACCTTTTTACCACTTTGTTTATGTACTGAATTGTGTGTGTGTACTTGTCTACCTATCTAAGAGGGGACTTTGGTGTCGTTACACACTCACTAACAGGGGACCGCCGAGGGAAGTGGGGACATTTTTCAAGTCCCCTGTTAGCTATGCCTTAAAACATGTTAAAATCAACTAAAAAACGCTCTGGTGAATTTTTTTAACTTTTGACCAAGTGGGGACTAACACATGTGTGTGTGTTTAAGCCCATACTCAGCAGCGCTCCTGTAGGCTGGAGCAGGAACTGCAGTGGCCCATTAACACACGTCGTTCACACTTCTCTATTGTCTGAATGGCTGGCTGTCCCAAAGCCTCTGAGACTGTAGAGCTGCTTAGTTAAGGTACTTTCAGTAAATTTAATAACCCCACGCTAGTAATCATTAGTTAAGCAATAGTAAATGCTTAACTAATGAAAATACAATTATTAAAACACATTATAGATATGCTTTTAAAACAATATTAAAGAATTTATAGCTTTATAGCTGTCTTTATAAATTGCTGATTATTGGTTTAAAAGCATATCTATAATGTGTTTTAATCATTTTAATTCCATGCTTTATTAATGAACAATTTATGATTTCTAAATGAAGTATAGCATTATAAACCATAATAATAAACCAATATAAAGTTATTTAGGAGTTGTCAGTGGTTTATAAGATCACTTAGAAAGTGAGTAAATGATTAATAAACTATTTCAATGTGCATTCATGTATCTTATTATTCAGACATATAGTAATAGTTACTTAGTGTGTAAATACATTTTTAACATGTATTTCTACTGTAATCCAAGGTTAATTCAGGTAGTTATCAACCATTTAGTAGTGGTCAGTTTACTATTTTGTGAGCTCATCTAAAGTGAGGACCTGTTATGCCTTGTAATGCATTTATAAAAGAGATTTCAAAGGCTCAGTTAAATATTTGTATGTTCTTTTATGTTCAAAGTGTTGTGTTTGTTTCCTTTTTCTGTTTAGAAGAGAACTGAGCCTTTAAATCTAATTTATGAATGCTTTACAAGATATAACTATTCCTCACTTTAGATGAGCTGCCAAAAAAAGTTAACTGACCACTACTAAATGCTTAACTTCTTGCATTTACTACATTTAAATACACTTAAGTGATCTCATGAATCACTGACAACTCCTAAATAACTGGTTTGTAAATAATGTTATTCTTCATTAGGAAATTATAAATTGATCATTAATAAAGTATGAAAATACAATGATTAAACACAATATTATGCTTCTAAATAAAGAATAAAGTATTTACACAAGAATAGAGCATTTATAGCTGTATTTATAAACTTCTTATTAATGTCTATTAATGCTTTATAAATTACAGATAAACTATTTACTAATGATTAACTAATTATTAATAGCATGCAGTTATTATGAAGTGCCCAGTGGCAACAGTTCGAAAGCAGAGGCGAGAAGACGCCTCTTATCATTCATAATATTATTTTTTTCTTATTTAACGCTCTCTCTTCATAGATACTGTCTATGCTTGGTTATAGCAGTCCCTAACAATTTACTTGCCATTGTTACTTTTCTTAATAATTTTGTCTGTACCTCAGTAGCAATTCCATACTAACAAATAATACAGAATATCATAACACTTTCGATGAAATTCCTATAAAACATCAGAAGCTTTATGTTGTGGACAATACAGGAAAGTTATTGCTTTAAAAAATTAATTCTCTGTTGTGGCTTTATACTTACAGTATATGATTGGTCCACATATCCCATTTAAGCTTATTGCCTACTGATAAGTTGTATTTGACAAATATACAAATAGTTGTATTTGACTATATTTTACATTTTACAAGCAGTTTTGACTGATATGTGTGCACTGTAAAACAATTATTGTTGGTTTAACTTAAAAAATGAAGTTACCTGTTGCCTTGAAACTTTACGTTCATTAAAATTGAAAAATTGACTTAATACAATGAAGGAGATTGATTTTATAATCAGAAACTCAAAATATTATGTTATCTGAACCACATACATTATCTAAGTTGATTTGACAGAAGAAACAACGTTATGATAACAAATCATGATTTTTTTTTTTTTTTTACAGTGTATATTACTTTAGTTTGAAAATTACTTCAATTATCTTTTTAACAGTTAACTGGTTTCAATCTTATTTATGGAACAGAAAGTTTTTGTTCAGGATAGGTCATTTCTTCTGTTCTGTCGCTCACCTCCACAGGGATCGATCTCGGCGCCCTCCCTTTACTCGTTCTACATGCTACCATTGGGTTCTATATTTTAATAAGACATGGTGTTGCCTTCCATTCTTATGCTGAAGACACCAAAATATATATACCTATTGAGAGAAATGATCCGTCTGCTTCCATTTCTCTTTTATTATGCTAAGATGAGGTTACATCTTTGCTTGCAAAAAAATTGTGTCTTTAAATGAACACAAAACTGAGGTGATAGTTTTCCCCACTGATAATTTTAAGACCACCAGCATCGCTTTGAGGAGCTTCTCTGCATTCAGATCTATGCGGGATTAGGTGTGCTTTTAGATGGGCCTTCAAAACGTGATAAATATGAAGAGTTCAGATGCAAAAGCCTCTAAATGCCATTTGAAATTTTCTTCTTTAATGATGAGTTTTATCAAACTTGTATATTTTAGTTTAGTAATTTCACTTAAATAACAATTAATAGGTAATTATCATTGCCATTTAAGTGAAATCACTGAACTTAAATATACAATCTTGATAAAAATGATCGTTCTAGAAGAAAATTTCAAATGGCATTTAGAGGCTTTTGCATCTGAACTCTTCATATCTTCCGTAACTGCATCTAGTTTATCAACTCAATAAAATCAAGCAGAAATATCTCTTTAAGGTATAATTGCAGGTCTCCACACAAGCTAAACTGTACATGATCTAGACTCTAGATAAATAAAATGCAATGGCAGCAGCAAGTCTGGGGAATGCTTATAATTCTCCTTTTGGTTTCAATTATGAACATGTTTCAATTCTTTTTAACAAGGCATACATTTCATAATACAATTATAAAAAGATATAACATTATTTGATATTAGCATAGCAGCAGTATATAACAGTATATTAGCAGCAATTACACATTGTTCCCTTTACCATCAAACTGGAGAGCCTCTTTTCTGTAATGAAAGACCAATCTTATGGGTTGTGGTCCCTCATATTGGCCAATATCAGTAAAAAAAACAACAACAACCTTGTTTCCCTTAGGGCTTAAATTACCCAGATTTGTTTATTTTTTTATCATTACATTTTTATCCTGACTGACATCAGGTGATGCTTGTAACCCAATCATAATCTGTTAACCCACAACATTAGAATGTTATATTCCCATTAAATTAAATTAAATTAGAATGCATTTATTTCTAAATACTTATCACTTTTTTAAGCTCTTCACTTCAGCTTCACTGCAGTACATTTCACATTCAAAACGCATTAAAACTACCAAAACACATCATTCATATATATAATAAACCAGACCGTTCTCATCCTTTAACGTCATAGAACGCTATATGCAAAAATGGCGCTATACTACACACATGGCACCCTTTATCATTAATATAACACGCGAACCCAAGTCGTCATAAATCCTTTAGCGTAAATATGATACGCAGACCCTACCCCACACCTAAACTTAGCTCTCACAGCGCGTGTTATATTAATGATAACGGGTGCCATGTGCGTAGTATAGCGCCGTTTTTGCATATAGCGTTCTATATGACGTTAAAGGATGAGAATGCGTTGAATAAACACACACACACAACAGGCAGCAATATGCACTATTTTTTGCTGTTCAGAATTCGTTGGTTCATGTTTATATGGAAGACTTAGACTTGTTTACGTGTTTAGTTAATTCTTAATTTTTCTGTTTTTTTTTGTTTGTTTTTTTAGATTCAGAATATGTTTCAGT